ATTTCGTTTTGGAGTTTCTGCGCAGCAATCAGCTCATGAGCTCAGTATTGTTTTGCAGAAAGGAGCCATAAGTTACCGCTAATCCTGCTTGATGCATAATGAAACATGAAAAATTAATATTTAGAAATGAAATCTCGAAACAATAATCTCTACCAACGTACCTAAACAGTAAAATATGGCAAATGTCTGCCCGTAATCAACTACTTTCCCGAATGGATCACCTACAGAGCGGTTTCGAAGAAATACCTCTCATCAGTGCAGGCAAGATCTAACCCAAACATTAGTGTGCCTGTAACTAGACTGACTTCAACGCGACTCTACTGTATGTATGAAACAGCTGGATCTCGTGGAAAAGAAACATCCAATACACCAACACTCTAACAGAATTCAATCAATTTCAAAAAAGAGGGAACTTTATACAAATATGAGTAGATTATTTATCTTGATCTTTCCAATTCATATAAAAATTAATACAATTGTCGTTTTAAGTATTTAATATAGATAAACTCAGTTTTTTACACTGAATAATTTTGACAAATCGTTTAAGAGATAAACTTGACGCAACTCGGTGAGCCATTACGCGTCGCGTCTACTGTAAGACGACGGGGGACACTGCGCGGGGGGTAGAGGGGCGGTCTAAGCAATGAAGCATTACCATCGAGAACGAGACCCGTGAGGGTAGACGTCGTTGACGATTATGTTAGTTTTGCGAATTTCTCTATAGGTAACATAATCCGACTCTCGAAGACATTTAAGATGAAGTACCGTTCAGAGACTCCTTTTGTTACATAGAAGATGTTTATTATATTTTACAAAAGTGCCCAGGATCAGTTAATTTCAAATAATATAATTTTTTCTTGAAGTTAAGGAACTTCAGAAGTTAGGGCATATATTCATACGAAGTTTTTTTACCAAAGTTGATCCAGACATATCTTTAAATATTAGCACGTTATCATGCAGTGAATAAAGAAACTTTCAGCCATGACATGCCCTTCTACCCAATGTTTATGTTGGAAAAGCATTCAGCAGAATTCGACTACCCTTTTATGGTTACTTCATAAAAGATCGATACCAGATAGAGTTTATAGTTAATGACAATTGAATCTATTGTTCACTTTTATAATTGATATAATTTTAGAATACCCTTTTACGATCATTATCGATGATAGTTCTGTTCAAAAATAGAACTAACAGGTTGGTCAATATTCCCATTTATATTTACGTGTGGAGGCACTAGTAGGGGAGCCCACGATGCAAAAGGGGGATATACTCGAGCGCCATAGACACATATTAGGTTGCAAAGCTTAGATGATAAGAAGAAAAAAAATGTTATATAATATATACCTTTTCATCGGTGGGGGAAGAGGCTATACATTTTTAAATATGTAAAAAAATACTGTTGCATGGACATACTCGAGCGCGTCAGATATTGATAGCATCAATGTCCTACGTATTTTTAATACTGTTCGTATGTTAATCTGATCGTTTGGATGATGCGGGTGGTTGTACGTAAGGGTTCAAAGTGAAAAGAAAAAAAATTTAATCGATCGCGTCAGATTTTCTAAGTGGGTGTTAAGTGCTACAAAAAAAATGTCTCATTCAATAATCTGACGATTTACATCTGACGCAAACTCGCGGCCATTATTATACTCTGCAAAAAAAATTCACCATTTTGAAATACTCAAGCGCGTGAGATTAAGATATATATGGTTCATCTTCATGTTCTAGACGTGCTGTCTCATAATCTTATGATTATCTAGAGGGATTCGCCTCATCTGACAATTTTTTTTAATTTTTTTCTTAAATCATTGAACTTAACTAATTGAAAAGCTCAGGAAATAGCATGCAAATAAATAAGTGTATGTTTTTAAGTAGAATACTTAACTTTATAAGAAAACAATTTTAAAAAAATGCTCAAAAAAATTAATTTTTTATAATCAACTGATTAATTATTCATCACCTTCATCTTCATCACGAACGAGTATCTGTGATCAGCTGTGATGACGCCATAGCAACAGAATTCAGAGTGGAGACAGAGTGAGAAAGTAATAGATAGAGAAAAAGTGAAAGAGCTGCCCGCATTGAACTTTATTTCGTTATCCTTGAATTATTTCTATCAAAATAAAAAAAAATAGCTTCGCTCGAGATTGTCGAAATGACGTTATTTTTTTGCAACTTTGCTGCCCTCCCCTTTCTTTACGTCACTTTCAAATTGTCAGATTACTGGAATATACACTTTTTAGCATGTAATTAACTCACCCTATATTAATCTGACGCGCTCAAGAATTTCTGATGATCAATTTTTTTTACTAATCTGATCTTTTATCCTTCACGGGCGGACGACTATTCGTTGATTTTCTCGAAAATGCATAATCCGATGTGTTGGAAGAACTACCTTTGGATGTGAGACACAGCATGATTTTTCAGCTAGATGGTTCACCAGTTCACAATAGTGGCATAACAAGAGTTTTGTTGAATAGGAATCTACCTATGAAATGGATAGGACCCAATAGCCCTCTCGTAGTATGGCCACCACGATCCCCAGATTTAACTCCACTGGATTTTTATTTATGAGGAAACTTGAAAAATAAAGTTTATAAGGATAGGCCAACAAATGAAGAAGATCTCCATGCAAGAGTTATACAAGCGTGTAGAGAAATCACACCTATAGAACTGAGAAGAGTTGTAGAAAATAATAGAAGGCGCATAGAAAAATGTGTTTGATTGGAGGGAAATTGCATAGAAGGCACGAAAATATAAAATTGTCAACAGTTAAATCATTTGAAATTTATTGTTTTGTTTTTTAATTGAAAATGTGACTTGGAAAGTAGTACTTAGAAAGAATTTTGAAGTACATAATATTTTTCGCCACAAAATATCCTTGTTTTTTTTAAATAATGGGAAAATGAGAATATGAACTAACATTAACCATCCTAAAACCCCACTGATTACATGTTTCCGTTCCTCTTACAAAATTACCATTTTCTCTCTTATTGAGAAGGAATAACTTTCCTGACAACAAAATAAAAAATAAATTATTTATGTGAAAACAAAAGTCGAGTTTCTCTTGAACAATTTCGTTCATGTTTTGATGTAAAAACCAAAAAAAAAACTACTTCAATTATTACGGAATATACGGGGGTGTTTCCATGAGAAGTGAAACAAATTCAGATTTTTCAGGACTGAAATTTTTTCAGGAAAAAATTGTAATCGTGGTAAGTTGGTAGTCCTGATCACGAATCTGAAGGAATTTTGAGCCTATTTTGCCCCCTAATATGTTTTTATTTTTCTGTATCAAAATGGAGTAGTAGAAAGTCAAAAACTTTCCATCCCAAAAATTTGTCACTCCTAAAAATATATCCCTTTCAAATTCTAAACCTTAGAACAACTAAATCTTCACGAAGTATTTGAGGTTTTAAGAAAAAATTTTTTGAATGATAACTAAAGTATGATCTAGAATTTTTTGTGGCAGAGAAGACATTTTCTATAGTTCAATATATATTGTAACAAATTAACGAATTAACTGTCTTAAACAAATGTATTTCCAACAATAAACTCCTATTTAACCAACCGTCAACAAGTGGTATCTGTCAACAGAACCACTTCGCTAAGGGCTCGTACTGATCATGGCGTGACACAGGGATCCGTACTTGGGCCATTGTTGTTCACCATTTATGTCAATGATACATTTCATTACTTGTTTCCTGATATGTGTATTGCATTTGGTAACGACACTTCATTAATAAATTCGCATTATAGTCGATTCGTACTCAATGAACTTATGGCGACTACTGCCTCTAGAGCAGATCTGTGGTTTACGACAAATAAACTCAAAATGAACAATGATAAGAGCCAGCACATCATATTCTCCTCTAATAAAAACATTTCGAATGGATCCACTGCTAAACTTCTGGGGATAACTATCAATGATGAATTAAAGTGGAATAGCCACATAAACCATCTATGCAATAAACTGTCCAGCCAACTATTTTTGCTGCGTAAACTGAAAAATATGAAGGTAGGCGCTACGACCAACCTTGTTAGCCACTTTTCATCAAAAATCGAATAATGCCACTTCCTTGCATCTATATTCATGAAACCCTCATTGAATTGCACAGAAATGAGGGAAATCTAAAGTTGAACTCAGACTTCCACAAGTATCCCACCCGAAATAATAGTCAGGTGAAGCCAAACATGTTCAGACTGAAAATGTCTCCTTCCAACTCTCCCAACTTGAATTTGTACAATAAACTCAATGAAGGCCTAACAAAGCTCGGCATGTATCTTTTTAAGAAAAAAATTAAAAAAAACATTGACTTAACATTGCTTCTTTTCAATAGAAGAATACATGAACTCCAAAATTCACTAGTCCATTGCTATACATTCACCTTGTTTTTACATACCTAGTTGATTTTTTTCACAGTGTAGTCAATAAAGTTTACTTTACTTTAAAAAAAAGCATTAATCATAAACTAATTTATTTATTACAACACTTAGCAACTAACGCTTAATTTATGTTCACCATTTGAATGAATTTCTTGTTTAGCCGCTCGATTCATTTTCTGAACTGCCCTCTTAGATCGGGAAGACGTGATTATATCGGTAACGGTCCTTTCTAGAAATCTGTAGTCGGTTCGGTAATAGAATTTTACCGGCGATTCCCAACTGCATTCTTTCGCGGTGATGTCATGTGTTTGTGTCATGATTCGGCCGGCGTACTGGTCAGGGGCGGCTTCAGATTCGCTACAATATTTTTATTTTCGCTAGTGCAGGATTTGCTCTAAATGATCTGGAGTAAAAATTATGAAAACGAACCTATTACATAGATACATAGAATTAGATTTTGTTTCGTACACATAAAACTGTTGGAAAGTTTAGTTCAAGAGCATCTTTTCATAGATATTCATGACAACTTGTAGATTACTCGAACTTTACTATTAGAACTATTCAAACTCCATTTGTGTCTTGATGAGATAATAGTATTAAAAACTTTATTTCAGAGTATTCAATTCGCCTGAAACATAAGCTGCACGCTGCCGAGGTTCTCAACTTGAAGATGGAGCATTTCAAAAAGAGACTGATTCACCAACACGAGAAGCCAAATTCATACAGTTCTGATAAGACTTCAAACGAAGACAATAATGACAATGATGAAGCCTACTCGAGTTCATCTAATAACTGCCTTCCAAACGATCAGCAGAATGTGAATAAAGGGAGAGAAGAAAAAGTTCAAACAAGAGTTGCCAAGAAGAGGGCAGTATGTAGAGGGAAATTCCGACACAAGGACATGGAAATATTCAAACTTGGTGCCAGTAAGTATTCAATTGTACATACAACTCGAAGAAATATACATTATATATCAAAGAGTGAAAGTTCAACATTGACGACTACCGTATCAAAGATATTTTCCGATTTTGTTGGCCGTAGGCTGCATTTTTATGTTTGTCAAAGGAAAGAACGCAGTTGCTCTCATATCTAGGCTCCTTACCTGATTGTAGACTCTCTTTGATGTATTTTACAACCTGCATATCGTTTTTACTAGATGTTTCTCCAGAAAGGAGGCCAGATCATTTCCTATCTGAAATTCTTGAAAGATGTAGTAGTGGTTATGAACATTCACATTTTCCGAACATCGGCGCCCAATGTGGGGCCACTGCAAGTGCTACTTAAAAAATAATCCTAATAGATTATTCATTGAGCTGTTTCCGTAACTTAGTTTTTCAGAGATATTCATACTATCCCCGTGTTTGTTTACTCGATAAACTGTTTAGTACTAAAATTCCTTGAAACTCTGGAAATTCACAAGCATAAACACTGTGGGTGCAACCTGTTAAATTATCAAATCAATTTAGTTTACTCATCGGTTTTCAAATTAGCACATCCGCATTGTAAAGTGTGAATTCAGGTACTCAATCAAGCCAAGTACCTAAATCATTACCTATAGGGGCGCTATATAAAGGCTAATGTAATAAATCATTGTTAGTTTGATGTATAAGTTTGAAAATGTCCTTATAGGACTGCAGTAACTAACGTTCCTGCAGTTTCAATTCTATTTTCTTCATTATGATTTCTTACCACGTAGTAACGGCTACATCCATCAATTTACATTTATGAGTATTTTAAATTATTCTTTCGTGAAAAATGAGTAATTAAACTTTTTATATTTTGGTTTTTGCTTTTTGGAATTAAAGTTACTGCAGTCTCGCCCTGTAAAGACAGTTTCAAAAGAATACAATAAGCTCATTGTATTCGTTTGAAAATTTCCTTATAAAACGAAACTGCAGTACCTAACATACGAAGTTTCAATTCTCAATTTTCATGATTATTTCCTACCACGTAGTAACGGCTACATCCATCAATTCATTTTAGTTTTATCTCGTCATTCGTGGTCCTAGTTTTATTTTCAATGATTTGGTTTATTGGCTCAACTAGCTACCCGCCTCGGCTTTTTTGTCAGTAGACAATACAAACATGTTTTCTTTAAAGGATACTCTTGAAAGAGCGACATTTAATTCGCCCGGTACCGCCGCAACCGCTACGTCCCTTGATTTTGAATCTGTAATATCTTCGAAAATATCCATTCAAATTACACGCTGTAATACCTGTTAAATGATCAAATCGAGTTAGTTTACCCATCGGTTTTCAAATTAGCACATCCGCATTGTGAATTCAGATACTCAATCAAGCCAAGTACCTGAATTATTACCTACAGGGGCGCTAAATAAAGGCTAATGTAATAAATCATTGTTAGTTTGATGTATAAGTTTAAAAAAGAGGACGAACTGCAGTAACGTTAGTTACAAATAAAAGTGGTAAAAAACATAGGAAGTTTCAATTCTCTTTTCTTCATTATGATTTCCTACCACGTAGTAACGGCTACATCCATCAATTTACATTTATGAGTATTTTAAATTATTCTTTTTTATGGATCAGTCAGTTTCTTGATATTTTTGGACATCTTCAATTCCATAATCTGTAAATCACCTACAACATACTATATTGTTCTCGATTTATGTTTGAGGTATTATTTCGTGAAAAATGGGTAATGAAACTTTTTATATTTTGGTTTTTTCTTTTTGGAATTAACGTTACTGCAGTTTCGCCCTGTAAAGACAATTTCAAAATTATACAATAAGCTCATTGTATTTTGAAAATTTCCCTATAGGACGAAACTGCAGTAACATACGAAGTTTCAAATCTCAATTTTCATGATTATCTCCTAACTCGCAGTAACGGCTACATCCATCAATTTATTTTAGTTTTATTTCGTTATTCGTGGTCCTAGTTTTGTTTTCAATGATTGGGTTTATTGGCTCAACTAGCTACCCGCCCCGGCTTTTTTGTTAGTAGACAATACAAACATGTTTTCTTCAAAGGATACTCTTGAAGGAGCGACATATAATTCACCCGGTACCGCCGCAACCGCTACGTCCCTGGATTTTGAATCTGTAATGTCTTCGAAAATATTCATTCAAATTACATGCTGTAAGGAGTCATATTGACAGATAAGATGAAGAAAAAGATGAGATGAAGATAATTTCATAAACGCAACTTTTCTCTCCGCGACTGGCGTCCCAGATGAAATATTTAAAAATTTGTTATTGCTCTTATACAACATGGAACGAACCTACGTACAAAATTTCAGCCTCCGGAAATATACCGATATGGAGAAACGGGAATGAAAAAGTAACTTCATTTTATGAACGAGCCTTTTCCCGCCGCAAGTGGCAACCCAGTTGGAATATTCAAAAGTGTTTTTTTATTGCACATCTACAACATAAAGTGAACCTTTATACGAAATGTCAGCCTCCGAAAATATAGCGGAACGGAGAAACAGTGATGAAAAGGTAATTTTCAAATGTAAACGCGCCTTTTTTACCCTCACGAGATGCTCCCCAGTTGAAAAATTTTAAAAACCTTTTTTAGTGCGCATCTAAGACCTAAGAAGTACTGAATTCAAGGTTCTTAGGACTTTCGCATTTATAGGTATAGATTCATGTGTTTCATAGTGGAGATGAGACCTCATTTCTGCTAACTCCCTTTTTGTTTCAGTTGACATTGTTTCTGTGTTTTCGACTTTCTATTGTATCATTATACAATATTTTTTATAAAATTATAGAGCTCTGTCAAGCAGTTGGATCTGTTCGAACATGATAATGTGACTATCTTCTCTAAGTATATGGTTAATATTGATTTGTCGGTATACCTGAGGTAACAATTTCGACTACGTTCACAGAGTCAAATTCTAACACATACTATGGAACATCTGAAGGAACAATTAATTTAGGCCAGTCTCAACTCCCTACACTGTAGGTTAATGGACTGACACCTATCAGAAAACAACTACTCCTCTGGCTAATACCACGAAGGGCGTTGGATTATATCCGACAGGTGTCAGTGCAGAATTCTTCACTGAAGTCATTCCTGCATATGCTGTTGGCAATAGAACTGCCGCAATAAATTTTCAATTATTGGAACACACTTTCAGACCGTTTCATGCTGTTTGGCTACTCATCAGTGCAAGGTAGTGTCTATGATCAACATAAAGTCGATGCTTTCCGATAATTCAAAATCACATTCCTTCTGAGTATCATTCCCTGAACTAGGCTGAAGCGGACAACTAACAACAGGTTTGTCATCGCCCCATCTGCCTGTAAACGAGGTAACTAACGGTATATCCAAAATTTGCCCAATTCCTTTTATAAGGAAAGAACACTTTTCACATATAGTCAGTGAGCATACTTGTAGACTGGATATAAGTCAAATCATCTAAAGGAACAATCCGTTCTGCTCCCTACAGTGTAGGGAGTTGAGACTGGCCCAAACGAATTGTTCCTTTAGATGGTTTGATTTATAGCCAGTCTTCAAGTATGCCCACTGACTGTATGTGAGAAACATACTTCAATGATGTCAATGTAGAATGATTCAAATCTAAAAGGAATCAGGTATACCCATAGTATTGCTGACATTTTTCTGTTGTAGACTCTCTCTTATGTATTTTTTAGCCAAATATCGTTTACACTCAATGTTCCTCCAGAATGTTCCCCCAGGTTCCCCATTGACATTTTCCGAACATTGGCGTCCAACGTGGGGCCACTATGAAATACTAATATTACTTGTAATATTTTGTATATAAGCATTTGATTTTTTTGTGGATTAGGCACGTACTATAAATCAATTCAACTGAATGTTATTTGTATCAAAAAAGATATGTTGAAAATTCGAAATAACAATCCAAATAATAATGTATACCTAAAGTTTACACATTATTACAATGCTAATTATTACAACACTAATTATTTTTTGTTAGAATTAATGAAATTAATATTTTTTATTTTATGTCGAAGATAAGAGATGAAACAAAAGCCTATATCGCAAATGATGTATGTAATCATGCAACTAGTAGCTGAATAGCATCCATAAAAAGTACATATACTCAATTATTGTGAATAATTGCATAGTACATAAGACCTTTCAGAGTTCAACTGTGAGTATTGCAATGAAAAAAGACAAAAAAGTTGAAGTCGGAGCAGCTGTTATATAATTATATAACGATTGAATTTATTAGACCTGTTTTAACAATCTGAAATAATATCCCTAAATTATAATTTGGAACTTCACGAGATGACAGACAAGGTCATCTCCTGATGATGCCAAATTTGTTAGCGAAACCCTCATCGACAGACAGTGTTTTTGTTCTGGTATGTAATCCGATAGATTAATTTTATCCAGAGATGCCAAGTTCTACTTATCAAGGCTAATGTTGATAACGTTTGATATCTCACAATCTGAAATATTATCTGGAACAAGATAAAGATACCCGAATGAAATGACTGGATTATGAGAAAACATCCTACAAATAAATACAATTGATACGATACCGAGTATATAAAAATTGAAAACATGTTATTCGCTAAAATATTACGAGTTTGTTATTGTTTCAAACAGCGTAGCGTTTTTTTTACTCTAACTCAAAAATGAATTTCACTTTTGAGTTTGTGAAAAAATCACAAGACGGGTCACATTGAACATTGAAAGGTTGTCTTGATGAACTGGATGGTATTTGACTTTGTACGAGCAAAGTAATCAAAGATCGACCATAAAATTATTCTTGCTGAATATAATGCCAACCTGGATTTCTCCCAGTTTTTTTTCTTTTTCAGAATCGCTAATGTTTCGTTTGTAATTTTAAAAATTTGTGTGATATTGAAAGTCATATTTGTAAAGTAAATATGATTTTTATCGAGGGTTTTCAAAAGTAAATCAAACAAAAATAATTGCAACATTTGTTAGTTTCTTTTTGGTTCAGAAG